TGCCTAGGAGCTGTCTTATAGACACCGCTGTCTCACAGATGCCTAGGAGCTGTCTTATAGACACCGCTGTCCCACAGATGCCTAGGAGCTGTCTTATAGACACCGCTGTCCCACAGATGCCTAGGAGCTGTCTTATAGACACCGCTGTCTCACAGATGCCTAGGAGCTGTCTTATAGACACCGCTGTCCCACAGATGCCTAGGAGCTGTCTTATAGACACCGCTGTCCCACAGATGCCTAGGAGCTGTCTTATAGACACCGCTGTCTCACAGATGCCTAGGAGCTGTCTTATAGACACCGCTGTCTCACAGATGCCTAGGAGCTGTCTTATAGACACCGCTGTCCCACAGATGCCTAGGAGCTGTCTTATAGACACCGCTGTCCCACAGATGCCTAGGAGCTGTCTTATAGACACCGCTGTCTCACAGATGCCTAGGAGCTGTCTTATAGACACCGCTGTCCCACAGATGCCTAGGAGCTGTCTTATAGACACCGCTGTCCCACAGATGCCTAGGAGCTGTCTTATAGACACCGCTGTCCCACAGATGCCTAGGAGCTGTCTTATAGACACCGCTGTCCCACAGATGCCTAGGAGCTGTCTTATAGACACCGCTGTCCCACAGATGCCTAGGAGCTGTCTTATAGACACCGCTGTCCCACAGATGCCTAGGAGCTGTCTTATAGACACCGCTGTCCCACAGATGCCTAGGAGCTGTCCTATAGGCACCGCTGTCCCACAGATGCCTAGGAGCTGTCTTATAGACACCGCTGTCCCATAGATGCCTAGGAGCTGTCTTATAGACACCGCTGTCTCATAGATACCTATGAACTGTCTTATAGATACCCCAGGTGGAGAAGTTAATGGCATGATGACCAGACTGGACCCAGGACATGAGCCGCCACAATTCAAACTGGGAACAAATGGACCCTGGAACTGAAGATTACTTGTACCTAAAACAATCAAGATGATGCCGGTCAGACCACTGATGATGAATTTGAAGATGACTGTTTGAGATGAGTATGCTGTCTCTGCATGTAGCACCAACGCCCCCTCCCACCTCCACTCTGTTTATAAAAGCTCTCCTCACCCGCTGCTTGTCCAGGGTGGGGGTGGGGGGGGACGGGGCAGCTGGTGGGGGGAGTCAGCCTTTGGACAGATGTCTGCCACCCTCCCCCACTCCTCCAGTTGCCAGCATCTGAACAAACAAAGTTTCCTTTCCACTAACCTGGCTTGCTTATCAGCTTTTGAGCTGCGAGCAGTCAGACCCACACACTCCTTTCGGTAACAATCAGAGCACATATTTATAATTCTTGCTGAGTCTATTGTTCTTATGACAGTACTATGCTTATATTCCTCTATATGTGTTAGTTGTACTGAAAATAAATAGTCTTAGTCTTTCTTTTTTTATATATTGACTGGTAATATTAAATGAATTAAATAAGGAAGCCATTAGACTGAGGCAGTTCCAGTGCCTTAGTAGCCTGTGTAAGCAAACCAAAACCTAAGCCTCTAATGCCTCAAGGTTAGGAATTCAAAACCCAGGGACAAAACCACCAACAGCCACCTAGGCTTTCTTGAATAAGCCATTAGCTCAAGCTCTAGCCCATTAAATAAAGTTCCTGGCTTTACCTCCGCCTCTTCTCCATTAAAGTCTTTTCCTTTAGTCCCTTTCTATGGGGTGCTCTTAACCACTTTCCATTTGGTGATGACCAAGTCTCACTCAAATAAACTCTTAAAAACTGTAACATGCCTCAGTTTATCTTTTAACACTATCAGTATGAATTTGTGAGGATTTCTTTAATGTGTTATAACTTATTACTGACACCATCCTTTTTGATGCTCAAGTTGTTCCCAGTTTGCTCAGTGAGAGCCCCTTCCAGCTGCCTTCTGAGTCCACTTAACATGCCTCCATCACTTTTTGAGCATTTCCTCACGTGCTGACACAAATGTACCAGGCTCCTCTTGAACGTTCCTCTCCCCAGGCCTAGAACCAGCCAGCTGTCTAGGGAGGCACAGTTCCCTTTCATAGGTAATATAAGGATGCTTTTAAAAATCACAAAAGTCATTTCTGGGTAGGATGTAATGAAATCGGAACACTCTCACACTGCACGTGAAGACATAAATTGGTATATCCCTCCTAAATAATAATTTGATGGCTCTAGTAAACACCTTAAAAATGTTTGTACTCCTTGATTCAACTATTTTAATTCTAGCAATCTAACTCAAGAAATTGATTTGAGTGTAAAATAAAGGCTATCTAAATATCTTTGTCAGGACTTGCCTTGTGG